ACATGGCTTCTATGCACCCCCATTGGTGTTGCTCAATTTTTTTTGCAAGGGGTTTAGGGGTTTGGGTTTAAGGTTTAGGGTTTAAAAGTTTAGGGTATAGGGTCTAGGGTTTATGTAGGGTTTAGGGTGCAAGCTTCAAGGCTTCTGGTTCAATTGTGTTTCCAAATCCTTCTGAAACTTTTGGAAGCAAATTTCTGGAGCCAAAACATGCTTGCATGGCTTCTATAGACAGCCTTCAGCACCATTGGTGGTGCTCAATTTTTTTGCAAGCTTCAAACTTTGAATAATTTCTTCCCAATGTAAAAAACCAGCCAAGACCAGGTATTCAGCAAAGCATTTTGCATTTCCATGATGTTCGAACCAGCTGTGCTTGTTTTCACATGTGTGTGAAGCCTGCTTAACTTTATTTTGGTTGCCTGTGTATTTATGTTTTCGAAGCTATGTTAAAAATTAGTTAACTAGTTAGCATAATTAATTTCACCATCAGGTTAAATAGTTAGCTAATTCTGCTAATTTTCATGGCTAATTAAGTTAATTCTGTTAACTTTTAGCTAACCCAGGGAACATCCAAGTATAACCCTAATGGTAAATCCTAAGCCCCTAAACCCTATATAGCCCATTATAGTAGTTTCCACTTTATTCTCCATTACCCCTATGTAAACCCTATGGTAAACCCTAAGCCCCTAAACCCTATATAGCCCATTATGGTAGTTTACATTTTATTCTCCATTACCCCTATGTAAACCTGATGGTAAATCCTAAGCCTCTAAACCCTATATAGCCCATTATAGTAGTTTCCATGTTATTTGCCATTACCCCTATATAACCCTAATGGTAAACCCTAAGCCCCTAAACCCTATAATTATAGCCCATTATAGTAGTTTCCATTTTAGTCTCCGCTAACGCTATATAATCAATATAGACCCAAAAATACTACAGTCGTTATTATAAGGACCCCCAAAAGGGTACCCCTAATTTCGGGAAACCCGCATAACCCTAATCCTTAACCCTAAACCCTAAACCCTAAACCCCTAATCCTAAACCCTAAACCCTAAACCCCTACTCCTTAACCTTTGGCCCCTAAGCAAGCCCTTGCACCGCCAAGGTTACGGGATTGGCATCCGGACAAAAATCCGGACAACATAGAGGCTGTTGGGCATACTTTGGGTTGGGCCCCCACCCACTAATAGTGGTATATTAGGAATATATAGAGGCCCTAATATAATTACCATTATCTCTAGTGGTCACCATTAGTGGGAGGGGGCCCAACCTAAGGCATACTTTTAGGTTTGAAATAGGGGGGGTTACACTGGGGGTATAATGATATGGGGGTTATATGGGGATAATGGTTAATTATATAGGGTTTAGGGGTTTAGGGTTCAGGGTTTACTTAGGGTATAGTTCCAGGACAAGGGCTCTGCTGCATCAGGAGGGCGTTTGCAACTGATAATTAATTCGCTCCACCCCCATGTCATCCACCCCAAACAGGTCGGCTCGAATCCCAATTCTTTTTGGGGAAATCACTGAGTCTACTGTGCAGCGTTTAGGAATTCGGGTTAGGGGTGTGTAGCCTTCTCATTTGGAACATAGATAGGTAATTTCGTTTGCACCTGGCTCACTACGGGCCTCTCGTGATTTCCCCTCCTGATGCTCGTATCTCCAAAAATTTGCTCCCAGTTGTTAAGTACGTATTCCCTGTGCCTGCATTAGGGAGGGGTCCGAGCTTGGTGCGATGACAAAGTTACAAGTGGAATGCTGCCCCATTGCGTGAGCTCTCAGCAGCAATCCCTTTATCCAGGATATAGGCCAGTACTGATTATCGCCGGGGAGCAACAGGAGGGGTTTCTTCTTGGAGGTATACCCACAACAAGGACAGCTGTATGTTGGAGTATACAAGGGCACCCCTACTTCTGCAAGCTCCACATAGCAGGGCTGGGAGAGGAACAAGCCTGACACATTAGTTCTCGCCATTCAGACTCCTTGGGCTCAATCCCAGACCCCTGGGAGGATCTAGAAAGTAGATCCCCCTTAAGGGTTCCTAGAAGTTACCCAATAGTAGTATAGGGTACCAAATTGGGGGTTCTACTTTCTAGATCCTCCCAGGGGTCAGGGATGAGGCACACTTGACAACTCCGAAACATAGTCGAGACTCACACCTTGATACTACCCCCCTCCCCCAACAAAAAAAAACATTGGGTTTAGGGTTTAGGGTCTAGGGTTTAGGGACACTTTGAAACCAATCCCTCACAACACTTTTCATCAGGAGCCGGGAAACATCCCCTTGCCAAACATGCTACCGTTTGTGCGCCCTTTTTCCCTGTCAGGCCGTTAGCCTTATGAACCTACGCGCTAAATTCCTCCAGGGGTTCTGGATGGGGAGGATGTAGTGCGTATAAAGGGATGATGAATTAAAGGGTTGAAGGAGGTTGTGCTACATACAAGCAACTGTCACAATTAGGTGCGCCTTCTTCAGGTGCTACATATCATCTGTTGGAACGATTCTGCACCAACCCTAAACCTGACTGTTCTCAAACCTCTCTGATCCACACCTAGAGCATACGAAGTTTCTCTTTCCGGAACAGTCGAAAGTTTAGGGCTTCGGGCTTAGCAGGGCAAACCTCCTAGGATGGAGGTCGCGCATTCCTACATTGGTAAGAGAAGCTTCTACATCCCAAGTATGTAGGGCAGGGAGTCGAAGCATGATTATACAATCCTTACACTGTCAGCTAGGTGGAATCTGACTGGCACCTTGCGTTTCCATTCGGGTTTCCAGGTTCCTCTTGCATTGGTTTATCACCCACATGGAGTCCATGCTGCAAATACTAATAATATCGTATACTATAGTATACTATAGTCTCTTATAGTATACTATAGTATATGTTTAATGCTATAGGCCCACATCCAGGCCCACATCCCCTGACCCTTTTAAGAAGATGAGGGTTTAGCGTTCGACAGCACCTAGAGCTCGAACTCCCTGATGTGACTGCCAGCTTTGGGCACATCACGGCGGCCTTTCCTGCTTCAGCGGTGGTAGTCTAAGACATGAGCTCGGATCAGTCTTTCAGGTGATGATTCAGTTGAGAGGCACACTGAGATGAACAAAAGCTTGCCCTCTGTGCAGGGTCTTGCTACCACGATGCAATAAAGGCTGCAGGTGGACAATAGGCATGCCCATTGGACGCCCCGTTGATGGTGCGAATGGCGGCTTGAGCCATGACGGTCCTGATGACACCTCCGAAACTGAGCGAATGGAGGAGCTTATGGGTCAAGTTCTGTACAAGATGCAGGCACTCACGCCCGACATTATCCAAGCAGTGCCTGCTTGGCATGCTCTCTGGTGCTGCGGGCGTGCCTTCCGCAGAAAAGTGCCGAGGGCAAGCTTTCAAACTGGCAGGATTGCAACTGCTGTTGGACTCTTTCTTCTCTTCAAGCCTAGGAATCTGCTTTCTAAATGCTGCATTCTTCTGTACCAACGCCGCCCTTACCACTGCCGTCATAACCATTGCCTCCAACACTCTCTCCACTGCTGCTAGCAGCCACCAGCCACCACCACTGCCACCGCCACCACCTCGCCGCCCCCACCGCCGCCACCACCACTGCAACCACCACCACCACCGCCGCCGCCGCCGACGCCGCCCCGCGCCGCCGCCACCACCAGCACCACCACCGCCACCACCACGCCGGCGCCGCCGACGCCCCACCACCACCACTGCTGGAATTTCTGTTTGCGTTCCATAGAAGCCGTTTTCAATCAGGGTTGGCCCGTTTCTGAACTCTTTGCCCTTCGCGGGGGAGCTGTGGGGTTTGTTGGGAGCTCTTTTGGTTTTTATGGAGCGGGTCCAAAGGGAATTGGGCTGGAAATTTGGTCTTGGGGGAGCTGTAGGGGTCCGTTTGGCTCTTCTGGGAAGCTCTTTTGGCCCTTAAGGAAAGAGTTATTATGGGTGCAGCAACGGGAATTGGGCTGGAATCTGTGCTTGTGTGCCATAGACCAAAAAAAGCCGTTTCTTTTCATCTTTTCAGGGGTGGTGGGGGAGCTGTGGGGATTCTGTCCACCACCACCAACACCACCACCCCCACCCCCACCCCCGCCACCGCCGCCACCGCCACCACTGCCACCGCCACCGCCACCGCCAAGCGCCAAGCGCCAAGCGCC